TTCCTGGACTGCAATGAACACACAGAAAATTAATGCCTTTAACTTTTTCAGGCCTAGCTTCTTCATGTGCTTATTAAAGATTCAATGTTAGCAGCTATTGGCATCATCCTTCATTCCCCATATCTTGTGCTAAACTCAGCATAGGTTTGAACCTCTATCTCCATTCTCTATGTCACCGTTTATTCTTAGCCACTAGTCTTGGAGTAAACACTAATTTGCTATGCACCATTTACTTGCTTTGTATTATTTACACAGAAATTTTGTCGTTAAGTTGTTTATGTTTCTAGAATACAAAATATGTTACATAAGAAATATTAGAGATAGGATGCATTGCCAAGAATCTCATCTCTGTTAAAACTAAACAAAGAAAAATGTAATAAAGAAAAAACAGTTCATAGAAGTTTGGATATGGTATACTAATATTATTTTGTTAGATCAAATATTATATGAAGTTTTATTCTTTTTGTCCTCTTTGTGACTTTTCTGTAGGCAACATGATCTTCAGGACACTCCTACTATTCCTGGCCTTTATGGTGGCAAATTCAGTTGCTGTCATGGACAAGCAGACATACATAATACACATGGACAAGGCCAAGATCAAAGCATCAGTCCATTCCCAAGACAACACAAAACCTTGGTTCAAATCAGTCATTGACTTCATCTCTGAAGCTTCATTGGAAGAAGAGATATCCCCTCAGCTTCTTTATGTTTATGAAACCACCCTGTTTGGTTTTGCTTCTCAACTTTCAAATAAACAGCTAGAGTACTTGAACCAAGTGGAAGGTTTCCTTTCAGCCATACCTGATGAACTATTAGCCCTTCACACAACTTACAGCCCTCATTTTCTTGGCCTACAGAATGGAAGAGGACTTTGGAATGCTTCCAACTTGGCCTCAGATGTGATCATTGGTGTCCTTGACACAGGAATATGGCCTGAACACATAAGTTTCCAAGACACAGGTTTGTCCAAAGTACCCTCTCACTGGAAAGGTGCTTGTGAAGCAGGCACCAACTTCTCTGCCTCAAATTGCAACAAGAAGCTTATTGGTGCTAGAGTCTTTCTCAAAGGGTATGAAAAATTTGTTGGAAGAATCAATGAGACATTGGACTATCGTTCTGCTAGAGATGCTCAAGGACATGGAACACACACAGCCTCAACTGCAGCTGGAAACATGGTGAGTGATGCCGGCTTTTTCGGCTTGGCTCGAGGTTCTGCCAGTGGAATGAGGTACACCTCAAGAATAGCTGCTTATAAAGTATGCTGGCGTTTAGGCTGCGCAAACTCTGACATATTGGCAGCTATTGATCAAGCTGTGGCCGATGGTGTTGATGTATTGTCACTCTCTTTAGGAGGCACTGCCAAGGCTTTTTACAATGATAGCATTGCCATAGCCTCATTTGGAGCAACACAAAAAGGAGTTTTTGTTTCTTGCTCAGCAGGCAATTCAGGACCCTCTAGTTCAACTGTTGGAAATGTTGCACCATGGATCATGACTGTTGCTGCTAGCTACCTTGACAGAAGCTTTCCAACACAAGTGAAGCTAGGCAATGGACATGTTTTCAAAGGGTCATCATTGTACAAGGGCAAGCAAGCACACCAATTGCCTCTTGTGTATGGAAACTCCTCAAAAGCACAAAGGACAGCACAGTATTGCACCAAAGGTTCACTTGATCCAATGTTCGTCAAGGGAAAAATAGTTGCATGTGAAAGAGGAATAAATAGTAGAACGTCAAAGGGAGAGGAAGTGAAAATGGCAGGTGGAGCAGGAATGATATTACTCAACTCAGAAAACCAAGGAGAAGAGCTTTTTGCTGACCCTCATGTTTTGCCAGCCACATCCTTAGGGGCCTCAGCAAGTAAAACAATTAGAAGCTACATTCACTCAGCAAAAACACCACCAACAGCTTCAATTTCCTTCCTAGGGACAACGTATGGAGACCCTGCACCAATTATGGCAGCATTTTCCTCTAGAGGACCAAGTTCTGTGGGACCAGATGTAATCAAGCCAGACGTAACTGCACCTGGTGTGAACATCTTGGCTGCATGGCCTCCCACGACTAGTCCAAGCATGCTCAAGAGTGACAAAAGAAGTGTACTATTCAACATAGTTTCAGGCACCTCAATGTCATGTCCTCATGTTAGTGGCATAGCTGCACTGATCAAATCTGTGCATAAGGATTGGTCACCTGCAGCCATCAAATCTGCTCTCATGACTACTGCTTACACATCAAACAACAAGGCTGCCCCAATTACCGACATTGGTTCAAACAATTCAGCATTTGCTGACCCCTTTGCTTTTGGCTCAGGCCATGTTAGCCCTGAAAGAGCTTCTGATCCAGGGCTAATCTATGACATCACCTCCAAAGATTACTTAAACTACTTGTGCAGCCTGAAATACACATCCTCCCAGATTGCTATATTGTCAAAAGGTAATTTCAAATGTGCCAAAAACTCAGGTCTAAAGGCTGGTGACTTGAACTACCCTTCATTTTCTGTGCTATTTGACACTAGTGCTTTAAAGGCTAGTGTGACATACAAGAGGGTAGTCACAAATGTTGGGTACTCGACAAGTTCTTATGCAGTGAAAGTGGAAAAACCAAAGGGAGTATCTGTCACGGTTGAACCAAGGAATTTGAGATTCAGAAGAATGGGTGAGAAATTGAGTTATAAAGTGACTTTTGTTTCAAATGGGAAAACAGGAGTCAGTGGCAGTTCATCATTTGGATCACTTACTTGGACATCAGATAAATATGCTGTTAGAAGTCCTATAGCAGTAACCTGGCAATAATTGGCACTGCCTTTGTAAGGGTACTATTTAAGAGAAGCAGAAAACTGTTTTTTTTTTATGCTCATTGCTAGCTGGGGAACTTTATTTGATAAATGATGATCCATCACACTATTGTTGTAACTTGTAACACATGATTGGGCTAATTTATCCTTGTTACCATCTTTAAACTTCATTGAATAAAAGAACACACTTTGTTATGGAACTGTTACTCATAGTTAAATAATTTCATGTGAAACTCGTGTTGCTTGATAACGATTTTTTTTTCTCTCTTTCCATTTGGATTTAAGATTATATGTTTTAGCTATTGATGGAAAAAATCAGGTTTTTTGACCAAAGTAGGGTTGTATGGGAAGTTATTTACGTAAATAGTGCTGTTTGAAAACTATTTACGCCTTTAGGGCTGTTTACAACGGTGTCATAGCGACACCAATGCCACGTGGTTTTTTTTTTTTTTGTGTGGGGTGGGCTCGAATGAGCCAAAACAGTGTCGCTATGGGCTGAGGCGACACAGTTTGTGCGCCATTAAAAATGGTGTAGCCCATACCGACACCATTTAAGAAAAAAAACAAAAAAAAGTAAAATAATTTCTAAATTTAAAAATAATGAAGTGAACTTATATATTTATAAAAATAAAAAATATTTATTTAAAAACGTAATCATAAAAAATATATATAATTATTTTACAAGTGGCGCTATGGCCTATAGCGACACCGTGTCGCTATAGGCTATAGCGACACTACTAATTTGTTTTTTTTTAGTTATTATTTTCTTTTATTTTAAAATTATTTTTATAATACCAGTTAAAAATGTTAATTTGTAATTATAAAGTTAATTTTTCTCTTATTAGTTTTATGTATATATATTTTTTTCGTTTATTATTTTATGACAAATTAAATAATGCATTTATTTATTTTTTTAAGTGGCGCTATGGCCTATAGCGACACTGTGTCGCTATAGGCCACAGCGACACTATTTAATTTGTTTTTTTTTTTAAATTATTTACTTATTTTATTTTACCATTTGTTTATTTTATATTAGCAGTTAAATAATATTGTAATTGTAAACTTAATTTTTCTGTAATTAGGTTTGTGTATATATATTTTTTTCCTTTATTATTTAATGTTTTTTTAAGTGGCGCTATGGCCTATAGCGACACTGTGTCGCTATAGGCCACAGCGACACCATTTAATTTGTTTTTTTTTTTTAAATTATTTACTTATTTTATTTTACAATTTGTTTATTTTATATTAGCAGTTGAATAATAATTTGTAATTGTAAAATTAATTTTTGTGTAATTTCTTTATTTTTCTATGTATATTTTTTCCTTTAGATTTTTTTTATGGTGTCGCTATGGGCCATAGCGACACTGTGTCGCTATGACCCATAGCGACATTATCAGTATATATACCCCGACATCTGTTGTCTTTAAAGATTCAAAAACACTTCAAATTTGTATCAAAACAAACTCTAAATGATTTAATGTGGATACACTCTTGCTCACTTTAAAGACAACTTTATTTAGAGGAGCCTTTTCCTTGGTAGTAATTAGTCAGTTTCCTCATTAACGCACATAACAGGTTTTGTTTTTCAGTGGACATGAGGAAAAGGCAGTATTTATGCTTTAGCTAATTTAAGATTTAACTATAATTAATGATAGATAGCATACTTAACTATTTTTATGGATGGGAAATTTAGGATTTTATTTCTTCTTATGTATTTATCACTGGTTTTGTTGTACGTGTACCCTAATATGTAAATTATAAATGATTAACTGTGTTTTTAGCCTTTGAACTTTTGTCAGTTATTGTTTTTAGTCCTTGAACAAACTTTATTTGGTTTCAGTCCCTGAAATATTTCTCCATGAACAAAAAGTTTTGATGCCAAGAACCAAAATGTTAATGGAAGAAAAAGTTTAGGGACTAAAAGTAAAAATCAGCAAAAGTTTAGGTACTTAACTTAGTAAAAAAAATTGTTCAGGAAATAAAAACAAATTGACAAAAGTTCAGGGACTAAAACATATTTGATTCAATTATAAATATACACCTCACAACATTAAGACATATTTCACTACAATTAAAATCTTCCATCTGCATGTGTATTATTATGGTGCTGCACTATGTTAATAATTTTGTTGTGATTTGTTGTGCAGGAGACCTGGAGTTCTTGTCCTAGTGAATGATTGTGATTGGGAGCTAAGTGGTCAGCTGAATACATCACTGGAAGAGAAAGATGTGGTGGTTTTTATATCAACCCTGCATGGTGGTTAGGGTATAGGTAATCGAATGCTTAATGAAGTAATTATTATCACTTACAAAACGCAGTTGTTGAGGTCATTAGTGAACCATGATAATCGAAAATTTTGGCTATCAAATGGATGAATCAACTTACATAGCCTAGTATGCAAAATGTTGTTCAGTCTTTACTTTCACTGAAATCAAATTTCGGTATTACACTTTACAGTTTTTGGCAAGGATGTGAAACTTGTCTGACATTAACAATGTAACCTACTCTGCAAGGTCTAATCCATGATTTGCTTCACTAATGAGTTAAGAATCTTTGACCTTAACACAACACAAATTATTAGCTCCAAGAATATCAGTGTGATAAATATTGTCATGATATAATTGCTTTAAGGGTTTTTTCTTTGTTTTGTTTTTACTAATAATTGCAAAGGTATTACCATGCTTTTTGTTGCTTTTCAATGAAATGGTGCAAATAGAAATAAATGTGAAAGAAAGTATATTTCCTTAAACCATACACTTGTAACTATCTTATAGTTATACCCACATGCTATGAAGCACGGATACTTCAATTTGCTTCACGTATCCGTATCCGATACGTATCCGACACGATACTCTTGGATACTTCACCGATACGTGTCAATGAAGTATCCTAGCCTTT